TAATATAGAAGATTTTGAAATTTGGGTGAACAGATGAATCTAGGGTGAGATCACCAAATTGAAAATCGTTAATTTTGAGGTTGCCAATTATTTTTAAAGAAGCTTTTATATTTTCTTATATCTTACATATATATATAATCAAAAGTCATTAATCCGGACTTGTCGGGACTCTGGCGATTCCGGATTATAGATCATCAGTTTAAATCTGGTAAGATGGCATGCAGAAATTATAAAATTAAAAATATGAAACTGTAATTTATGAAATAAAGAATAATTATGATCTAAAGGGTATCAAAATTTACAAAAAAAAAAACAAAAAAAAATATTTATTTGTTAACTTTATTAAACATTTCTTTTAATGTAAGTTGTTTAAGTTGCTTCGTTTTTTTATGTGATAATACTTTCTCTTTAATTCTATAAACAGACATAACTTCTTGTTCAGTTACAAAGTTCCGCTGTTCAAGTCCTATAATTGCCGTGTCGAGAATACCGACTAATTTGTCAATCGAAATTTTTTCGTTTTCAATAACCTCTGTGTCATTTTCTTCGCTATCGGAAGCAAATTATAATGACGAGGAATTTGATTTAAATCATATCAAAGATGGAGTACATCGAGATGAAATGCTACATTTAGTAAGGAATTATAAGCCAAATAAAATAAAAACATCTGCTCTGAAGATAAGGATAGTGCTGACAGATCAACTTCCAATTCATTGCACAATTAGGCGTCCACCCCCCCCGCGCCGCAGAGCAGCGTGAAATTAATAAACAGATTTTGGAATGGTTAGATAAACAAAGGATATGCCTTTATCCATTTTTTGCAGCAATTTCACTTTTCGTTTTTTTTTGTTTAATGGACTTCGAAACATACTTTCGCTCTGTAGATCCTTTACATATTAGTAAATATATATCAGAAATTCTATTTCACATAATCGAAAGTTCAAGCTCACTTTTATAAAATTGCTCCAACAGTCTGAAAAAAATAATAAGCCGGATCCAATTCGAAGATTAAGGAACAATGCAATCTGCAACATTAACTGAATTAGATAATTTTAGCTTAGCTCATACCATCCGTTATACATTAAACGCGCATTCGTAAACGTATTTTGAGCATGCACACAAGCATATTCGCAGCCGTAAAGGTCTTACGCGCATGCGTCGAAGTTTGTAGCTTTGAGGTCCGGATTATAGATCATTCCGGATTATGGGTGTCCGAATTAACGACTTTTGACTGTATATACATACCGTGTATTCCGGCATATAATGCAGACTTTTAATACAAAAAATAAGATTGAAATTTAGGGGTGTGGGTTATACGCCAGGTATAAAAATAATACATTTATTAATAGGGAAAAGATGAGCATACAGAAATGGATTTCTACATGTACCTGCAAGTGCTGTTTCTTTAAAAGAAATGACACACCTTATGAACTTAATTTTCATTATCGGATAATTTCCTGCAAGTAAAGAATGTTAACTTTTGTACTTTCATTCATTCAGAGAAACCATTTGACTCCTAATTCTGTTAATTCATTCGGATGGGAAGTGCATTTTTAAGCTAAATTATGTCTCCCTTTTCTCGAAACCCTAAAATAATATTCTTGTGTCCAGCTGCATTTAATATAACCCACCCTCTCTGCAGAATTGTTTACCTCCTCAAGCATTTCCTCCACACCCATATTTTTCTCCTTATCACTTGTCAGTTCGGAATACCATTGTTGTATCTTCTTCGAATGAATGCCTTAATGATAAAAGCATTGCACATGTACCTTTCAGGTTTCTGCTTGAAGGAAAAGGTGCATGTTATATGGCGAATATATCTAAAAACTTAAAATATAATTTGAAATTATAGGTGCACGTCATAGGCCGGAATATACGATATATACCTTTCAGGTTTCTGCTTGAAGAAAAAGATACATGCTATACGGTGAATATACTTAAAATGTAATTTGAAATTATAGGTGCATGTTATATGTTGGAATATACAATATATATATGTGTGTGCGTGATAAAAACAAACTCGGAAGTAATGAATCTTGATGGTGTAGAAGTGTTGATTCATAATGAATAGGAAATTGGAGGCAAAGGCAGATTAAATCTTTATTTCTTATGTCAGCAAACATGTTGTGGCCACAATCAAGTCAGCACATTAACTGTGCCCATTCAAAAATCTTACATTTTTGATATACTTAGAAGTAGTAGACAGACTGTAGTCTTGCTACGTCAAAGCATAGAAAGCAAATGCACTATGTTCAGGATGAAATCTTAATTCAGACTGAGTTAGTTTTGGCTCTCGATGCATTTTGACTGGATAATTAATACTGCTGTAAAATTACTATTGGCTGTTTGAGTTTTAGTTCCATTTACATTACCAGAATTATGTAAGAGTCATATGACATGGATTAATCTCGAAATGACTCAATGCAGAGAGATTACTATTTTTAGAATAGAGAAGAAAAATTAATTTATGCTGCTAATTTAATCGTTTACATATTCTTTATTTTTATTATACACAGTACAAAGTCCATATTCCAGACTCGTCGGAACTTCGCCGATTCCGGATTAGGGGTTTTTTCGGATTATAGAGCATCAATTTAAATCTGGTAAGATGGCATGCAGAAATTATACAGTTAAAAATATGAAACCGTAATTTATGAAATAAAGAGCAATTATGATCTAAAGGGTATCAAATTTTACAAAAAAAAAAAAAATAAATAAATAAATAAATAAATAAAAATAAAAATAAATAAAATAAAATAAAAAAATAAAATCTTAATATTTATTTGTTTACTTTATTAAACATTTCTTTCAATGTGAGCATGTGTAAAATTTGTGGCTTTGAGGTCCGGATTATAGATCATTCCGAATTTCTGCATGCCATCTTACCAGATTTAAATTGATGATCTATAATCAGGAAAAAATCCTAATCTGGAATCGCTGAACTCCCGACGAGTCCGGATTAAAGACTTTGTACTGTATACAGTTTATGTCTGAACTCTGGATGTCCAATATCCAAACCTCCACACCATCAACAATTTTGTTTCTCTTACATGCTGGAAATAGAAAATATTACATGAAATAAAAAGCAGGTGTCCTGGAAATTTGATTTTTATTCCCACTTACAAGATTCTTACATATCACATAAAAAAAGGAAAATTTCAACTAAATATTATGTATCTCTACAAAGGAAAGTTAATGGCAGAAACAGAAAATAGTGAAAAAGGCCAAATGTACAAAATATTATTGTTTGAAAGCAAAAACCTTAGTCGGTAAAAATATCAGGTAACTGCCATCTCTACGGGTTGGTTTTCTTTTCTCTTAACATCATTAGAATCACTTGAAAAATTTTTGAGCCTTTGTCCCATTAAAAATTTATCCACCTTGATTTGTTTCCATCTAGGTTTTAAAATGTTCCTAATGCAAGACATGGTACTGTCATTGCATCATCTCTCAAATATCCTTAAATTTTTTACATGGGTTCTGCTTATGAAAAATAATTGCATAGCCAAAAATTTCATGTTATAATTAGCCGGAAAGGCCTACTAGTCTCAAAAATGGCATTTTGAATCAATTCACTATAAACGATGTATCACTTTTTGTTGTTGTTGCCACTAAATATTATCACCCAGCAAACTAAATAATGAAGAATCAGCACAAATGTATATATGTTCGTCGCACTGTGATAAAGCAATGATACCTAGAACCATCGAATTTTGAATGACGTAATCCTACTGCGAATACAGGCATCTGGAAGACCAAATTTGAAATTTGTTTTATTAAAGATTTCATGTTTTGTAAAACTTTTAACAAATTTTTGATTAACAAACTCAAGGATTTCAAAATGGCAACATTGTACAGAAAAAAACCTTTTTATGCACATATCTCATATTGTGAGAAATAATAGTACTTAGACCATCAAATTTTGAATAATGTAATCCTCCACCTGGACATGGGCACATGGAAACCCGAATTTTGAATTTGCTTTATTAGCTATTTCATAAAACCTTAACAAATTTTTTATTAATAAGTTCAATGATTTCAAAGCAAGCAGTGGCAACACTGTACAGGGTAATAAAGGTAACACACAAAGTGTTAAAAAAAATGCCCCTTTGGCTATAATATAAAATCAGAAAAGCTTTCAGATTTTTTTTTTTTTTTTTTTTTTTTTTGTTGTTGTTATGATTAACCTTTGTCCTGTTTATGCTTTGCTTTGCCTCATGGAAATATAATCAGCCCAGCAATGGGTCAAAAACTGAAAACAGGAAGTTACAGAGGAGAGTTCTTTTTCTACAGCCGTTTCCAACCAAACCATTTTCTGATAATGTAAAAACAAAAAAAAAAAAAAAAAAAAAAAAAAAAAAATTGTATTACAGAAAAATTATACTTAAAAAAATTCCTACAATAAATAGCTTTGCTTTGCATATACAAAAATGTCGTCATGAACTATAACATGTAATTAATATATGGGTACAGGTTAAAATAAATTAAAACTCAACTTTTAATTCGCTGCATTCACAATAAACATATAATATCCATCATACTATTTATAATTGCAGATATGAAACCATGTAATTTAATACATAACCATCTAATACATCGATACTTAGAAATTTCTGAAATATTCTTTTATTGAAACTACGAATAGATTCCTTTATACGCTTTCACACATTTACATCACAGATAACTCACGCTTAAATTTCTTTTTTGGGATACTTCCTTCAGCCATAACATTTACAAAGAAACCAACACAAATAGAATCAGCTTGCTGCATCAAGGTTTCCACACTTACCGTCATGCACTTCTGTTCGGGCAATGAGATACGTGACAGCATTAAGCATACAATTACTATATATATATATATATATATATAATTGATACAATTTATATATAAATAAGCATGAGAATCAGAAATTATTATTTTAGTTAACGATCAAGTAATTTCTGATAATGGAAATCATAAATAAATAAAATAACATTAATAAACAAATGTGGTAACAAACCTGTGGCTTCTGAAACTTGTACCATGTCCTTTAAATTTACGGAATAGATTTTTAAATTCACATCCGCATCACCTAAAGATGCGACATTTAAATTTTTTCTATGGCTTTGCTCCAAAAGTTGTGATACTTCTGGCGAATAAGGAGTCCATTTTCCATGTTTATTTGCTCTTTCCCAAACAACTGTCATCCACGTGCTGTTGAAGGCCATTACATTTACAGTTTTCAAAAGTTACTATAACAAAAAGGTTTTGAAAACCACAATAACAAACAACTGAAATTTTAATGTTTAAACTCAGTAAGAGAAAAACGATACAAACTATGAGACGAAAGAAAACACATCAAACAAAGAATGTTTCTTTGCATCAACGTTCATAGCATGACGTCAGGTAAACAAGTTGTTTCATTGAATCAACCGGTTTCATATTCCTCCAGGCAGGGTTGCGTAACACTGTGCCAGAAAGTCAGGCGAGCGAGAAATATTCTGATCAGAATTTGTAAGAATTACTCCTATATTTGCTAAGGAAGTAATATCAAGATTTAAGGTTTATACTGAAGAAATATTTCAGTTGTGCGATACAAACGATAATGGAGATTGCAGCAGAGAAATGTAATATTAGGTTATACAACTCTATGGTGCATATTTCATGGTATTCAGGTTGTTTAACATATATTGCAATAATTTTGAAAATGGATAGCAGTTTACATAAGATAATGACGTCATAATTCGGTACTACTAGACGGTTGCACGGATTTTGGAGCCTTTAAAATATAATGAAATGTTAATTTTGTTGCTTTCCTACAAAACAAAATACAAATCATTGATGCTGTGTAATAAAACAACAACATTTGCGCTTTACTGTTAAACTTTCATAAATTTATTACATGATGCAAAAGCACTTTTTTTTTGGCATGTAAACAATAAATCAGTATTTTGATACAAAAATAAAATTTTATAAAACCTGTTACCTTTTTAATAAAATTATTAAATAAAGGCAACTATGCTGTGTTCATTTAATAAAGCTACAGCAAATTAGTGAAGCCACTGCATGATATAAAATTTATATATGGCAGTTTGGCCCTTGTGCAAACTGATATATAAAATATATCGAGGATTTTACTGTTTCTCTTTTCACCATAAAATGAATAAAATTTTAAGGTAGGTATCAATAAATGCTTCTTAAAAAATGTAAATTATTTATTTTTATTCTACATTAACTTGCACATCTAATGAAAATCAAAAATTATCTCGAAGCACTTAATTTGTCTGGTATCAGAAGTATAATTTTTGGAACATTTAAAAAATGTATCACATGATGGAAACTCTAAATTAAAGTAAAGCACAACCACCTAAAACTCTTTGTATAATTAACCACTAATATTAAACATTGAGGAAAAGGGACACCACAAGTGGTACTTAGGAATGGGGGCATCACATAAATTTCCCATTCCTGATTTTACCAAGAAATGAATGGTGTAGTCAAACTAGTACTGGCAGAGAATTAAAGGTGAAAAGACTGGCATAAATATAATGAAGTGATATAATGTATAAAATAAATATAATGAAGTGATATAAGACAGTGCGGCAGCAAAAAGGTGTTACAGTGGCAGGCGGAGAAAAGCAATCTGACGAAAAATGGCATGAACTCTTCATTTATAGCAGTGGTTACGTAACATGCTCAAATGTTCTCGAAAGTATTGGTCTAGGTCTAGGTACTGATCCTGAAATTTTGCGAAGTTAATTAGAGGTTGAGGCCCGGTGGCGCAGTGGCTAGCGCATCACGCAGCAGCACCACAGGTTAAGGGTTCGATTCCCTGGCTGCGCAAGGTCGACTCAGCCTTTCATCCCTTGATTTCCATCACTTGGTCAATAAAATGAGTACCAAGTTTGCTTGGGGACTAAACACTGGGGGTCCTGCGATAAGCTGACCACTTGTTCAAAGCATATGCACCCCGGGCCCACGGTCAAGAAAGCAGATTTCAGGCACTGCAGGCCTTGGCCCATTAGGGCTATTACGCCACTTAGTTTAAATTTTTTTTTTTTTTTTTTTTTTTTAAATTAGAGGTTGCCTGTTTGCATAGAGCAAAGCCATGATACTTTTTATATTTTACATCTTCCTCTCTCTCAAAACGAGAGGCCGGGAGCAAAGCATTAGTACATTAGTGAAGCAAGAAAAATTTAGAATATGAGGAAAGACATGAAGAAAAACATCCAGGATATAGCTTACAGGCTTTAACTATGCCCTATCATAACTCATGATCTTTCTCATATAATTAGAAAATGCTTAATTATATAATTTTACAATGGAACCTATGATTTATAAATAAGCATATAATTTATAACTAAATATCTAATTTAGAACTATAAAAACAAAAATATATGGAAGAATAATACTAAATAATAAATAAGAATAAAAAAGTCCTCAATTTTGTTCAAAATGTCCATTGAAAAGTTAAAAGTCCTTTCACAAAAAATAGCTGAAGTTAAATGAAAATGCTTTTTTAAAGTCTCTTGATGTCAATAAGTCCATAGCACTTTTTGCAATGAAGATGGTTCCATAGTAAGTTTTGAATAGAAGATTGTGAAATTTTGTGGGGAACATCTTTTATTTAAAAATACAATTTATGAGTAATGTAATACTTGCATTCATTCTTCTCATCATAGGTAATTAACAATACATTGACATATCTTAAAGGAATATAAAAATTTAATACAAAACATTACAATATAAAGAAAATTCAATATAAGTCTCTAATAATATGATGCAGTATTTAATAAGACAATAAAACCTTGAAATAAATCTTTGGCATGTCCTTTCCAACAAATCTGTGTGACTAATTTGCTGATGGTTGGGGGGGGGGGTGGGGGGGGGTAATTGACTACAAAATATAAAAGAAAACCTCCATTGCCTAGTCAAAGGTAACTGGTTTTTCGCATTGTACAGTTTATCAAAGTGTTTTTGCAAAAAATACAAAATCTTACATATATAATTTAAAATTAAAGACAAATAACTTGTGTGATTAAGTTAAAGGCTTTTTTGGAATTTTGTAAACTAGAAATGAATATTACCCTACACAAGAAGAAAGAAAGAAAATTTTGCTACAGAATTATGCAAGAAAGAAAAATAAAGAAAATTTTTCATGTTCTAAAATTACATGAGATAAATGTGTTTGTGTGTGTCTGTGGTAGCACTTCCGTGCTAAACTATGGTCAGAGGATAGTAGCTGGTATGGAAAATATGCAAAAACCCAAGCCAGTTTCTTAAACATAGTTAACTCTCCTAACACAATAATACACATAGTGTAATATCTAGTGTCACAAAAAAAAAAAAGTATAGAAACATTCGTCTTTATTGAGAATCTGTATGAGGGCCAGATTTTCAATGCAATGCAAAAATGGGTTAGAATTTTTCCTCTCCTCATCTCCTAGGTGTTATATATGTAACTGTAACTGTATCTATTATTATGTTTAACCATAACTGTAATATAGAAAGTAGATGAGTAATGTAGAATAAACGAGTTTGTGTACAACTTGTAATCATAAACTGAGCAGTACCCAACACATATAAAATACAACACATGGCGCAGCCCGTCGTTGATTAAAAAAGAAAATTTTTTCAAGAACCATGCAGCCTCGGTAAAGATGTTCTAAACAAAAACATCATGGGAAGTTGTTTACTGTGAAATCGAAACTTATATCGCTGGTAAGTGAGTTGTTTATTTTTATTGGAAGTGGCTAAAAATACGTATATATAAACTATTTAATGTCCTAAATTAAATATGGATGGATTAAAGCCACCAAGTAATCTAAGTTTCGAAGGAAATTTAAGCGAAAATTGGAAGAAATGGAAACAAAAATTCCAAATTTATATGTTAGCGTCTGGTGGTATTACTAAATCACCTGAAAATTAAAGTAGCTATTTTATTGCATATAATTGGTGAAGAAGCACTTGAAAAATTAATACTTTTAATTTAGTGAAGAAGATAAGAAGGATGTTGAAAAAGTAACTGAAGCTTTCGAAAATTTTTGCATACCCGAAAGCAAACGAAAGTGTTGGATAGACATATATTTTTCTGTCGAACACAACATGTAGGTGAATCGTTTGATGATTTCTTTAACCGATTTAAAGAAATTAAGTAGCAACTGTGGATTTGCAGAATTAAAAGATAGTTTAATAAGGGATAGAATAGTAAGTGGAATTCTAAATAAAAATCTCAAAGACAGATTATTAAGGGAAGATCAGTTAACATTGGAAAAATGTATTAAAATGTGTAAAGCTTCTGAATTAGCAGAACTTCAGCTGAAAACTTTAACTGAAGAAAATAAAATAGAAGCTATCAAACGTAATAAATTTCGACCTTCAGAAGAAAAAAGTCAGCCTTGTAAGAAAGACTATCATGTAAAACAAAGTACTAAATCTTCTTCAAACTATCAAGGAAATAAGTACAATAATCCAAAACCATGTAGAAAATGTGGAACTTTTCATAAGTTATACAACTGTCCTGCTTATAATAAGATTGCTTGTACTGTAAAAAGAAAAATCACTTTTCTAAAATGTGCACTTTTAAAAATGTTAATGTTGTACAGAATAATTTAGAGCATGAGTTACATAATAATGGTAATGAATATATTTTAGGGTCAGTAGAAGATATAAATCCATTTTCTAAAAATAAAACCGAATGGTTTGAAAAACTAAAAGTAAACATATCTAAATATTTATTTGTTAAGTTGGATACTGGAGCTCAGTGTAATGTGCTACCATTGCCTAAATTTAAACAATTAAATTTAAGAGAGAAATGTTTGACTAATCAAAAGTCACTTTAAATAATTACAATGGTACTACAATTGATGTAGTTGGAAAATGTAAATTATTATGTGAAACATCAAAAGGGAACAAGGATGAAATAGAATTTCAAGTCGTAGCATGTGATAAAAATGTTCCAGCTATTTTAGGGTTACCTACATTGCAAAAATTAAACCTAATACAAAGGATTTGTACAGTAAATCCTGATTCTAACGAAATGTTACCAGAACTTTTAAAAGGATATCAAGATTTGTTTAAAGGAACTGGGAATTTAACTGGATATACATATCATATTAAATTAAAACCAGGAGTTGGTAAAATAGAACCCTGTAGGAAAAATTCCACTTAGTTTATTAAATCCATTAAAAAAGGAATTAGCAAGAATGGAAAAAGATGGTATTATAAAGAAAGTTAACCAACCAACAGAATTCGTGAATTCATTAGTGGTAGTAAGGAAAAAGGATGGAAATTTAAGAGTGTGTTTTAGATCCTCAGCACCTTAACCAAAAATATACTGAGAGAACATTATCACATACCAACCTTTGAAGAAAATTTCATCTCAAATGAC